CTGGAAGGCCGTTTCGTCCTAGTATGGAACTCGTCATCAAAGCGCATTCACAATCCCGCCCCGTGAGATTCGAACACAGGATCTTCGGCCTCGTGCGCGAACTCTTAACCTCTAGATCACTAAGCTGGCATTCAACGGTGTTAATGTCTAACTTCAACCAATCCACGAAATCGGATCTCACGAGGCTGGATCGTGGATGCTCACTGTTGAGGAATCTCATACTAGGGCGAAACGGCTATCCAGTGCTTCCAGGTTTTTCCATGGTGGTCTAGCTTCAACTGACTCATGAATTCAACTGTTAAGTGTGTTTATGTCGTTATGTTATGAAAAGCTGTTTGATCCAAACATAATAGTTGAAAATGAAACCAAATGTGCATCATTACTGTCTACAAACAGGAAATCAAAAGAAATATCAGATTTACGTTAGGTGAACATAAACAATTTGAGGACTGTGATTTTAATATTACTGAACAAAAATCACACAAAGCTAAACTTAAACACTTGAAAAAATTACAACAGTCTACTATCACACTTTGGTCAATTCAAATGAAAGGCTTATCATTGGGTTAAAAATTCTGTAATATCATCACTAAAACCAACAGAATTTATACTCAAATATAATTCCAAAGTCTAGTAAGTGAAACTCATATTCTTGTTTTGACTAGTAACTAGTGAATGTCAGAGGTTGGTAAACTTAATACATGGCACTTCTATGGTTGAAAATACTATCCGGCCATCATACATATAAATAATAAATGGCCAAAAAGATTCTTTTGTGCCTAAATAGAACAGCTCAACAAACAGCCTTCATCCTCATGCTGGTTATAGGGTGAATGGCACTACATAAAATTTTGCCCATATAAAAGTTACCGTTATACTAAATGTCAACGTAAAGTACATAAAGAATCCTGCTGTTTTTTAATAAGTCACTTTTTAATAAATATAATTTGGATTTTTCTATCATATATATATATACTATGATATTTCGAAGAACTTTGAAACCTCCATCACCCAGTATATGTTCATTAAAAAAAGAGAAAAGAAAAAAGGAGAAGAAAGGAAAAAGAATCCATGTAGTGAAAGTTGACAGTTTATATGCATAATTCAACTATGCTAGTTATCATTAAATATAAGATTATTTGAATTAGATAAAATATTGAACATAGAACATTCATTATTACTATTCTGTTTAGTTATTTTAAAATAGATTTATTTAAATCTTTAGTATATATATATATAATAATGAAATAATACTCATCCAGTAGGCAACGTTACGTAATAATACACTCATTTCTATAGTGTAGTACCGATCAGATATAAAAGAAACTTGATAGGGATCCTGACTCATCGTGCTAGAATGATTTGCTCAGATGACATTATTTTAGATGAATTGGTTAATATTCATAACTTGCTTAGTAGAAATGGATACCCAATGAAATACATTGACAAACACATGAAGGATTTGAAAATAAAGACAAGGGTACTGACCGTTCCGAAGAAAGTATTGTTCTGAAAATTATAATTCCTAAAGGATACTACTGAAGAGATTGTTACTCAGAGGTTAAGAAATGCGGTATAGAAAACATTTAATGAAGCCAGATTGAGTGCCGTCTTCTACAACCGCCCCACAATAAGAACGGTTAATAAAGATAGATTGTCTGAATTCGCCACATCTATGTGTGAGTGATTACTACGTCCAAGAAAGAAGATCTTTGTTTTGAACCAGAACGTATAGGTTCAGATACATGCTATACTAAGGCATGGTCCAGTACCTTTATCAGAAACCTATTGCCAAAGGACTGTGACCAATCCAGTTAATATCAGATGCATTAAAATCTCCTAATATCAGGCATCTGTTATTTTAACTCCATAACTGGATGTGGTCTAAAATGAAGTCATCAGCTAAGTAGTTCGGGCTACGATAGATAACACCAAGTATAAATATAAAACATTCGAAAATTAATGACTTAGTAAGTTCAACTATCATGGGATTCACAAACAAAGGAACAGATATTTATATTATTAGCTATTCATATTAGAACCCCACCCCCTTCGTGCATCAATTCCTATCACTTCCTAGGTAGTAGTATCCAGATAATTCTGGAATGACGTTGAAGTCATAAACTAACCAAGCTTCAGTCACAGCTACGATGAGTGGCTTTAGTTCGTCCACTAATAACGTTTGTTCATGAAATTTATTTTCCAGATTACGATCGTTTGTACATGACACTTCTAAAGATGACAACCTATTCATTCAGACCTTGGTAGCATTCGTATTTAAGACCTGACTACTCAAAAGCCACGAAACGGAAATTTTTTTCACCATTTTGTTTACGGGTTTCTAGTCCAGCTAGTGTCGCCTTTCTTTTCCAAATCATGCGCGTGTCTAATTTTTGCATTACGGTTGTTTGTTTTCAGAAAATTACTTACAATAATATTCGATGAGATCAAGCTTTGTCCAATCACGCTAGGGTTAAGTTCCGTCCTACTTTTAAACTCTACTGGTGTATTCTCTGACACATAATGGGAATCTACCGAAGACTTATCAACCAATTGGTTGTTGCTTGTGGCTTTTTCATTTCTCTCCTCTGTCTCCACACGGTAGCCCATTACCCGTCACTCAAGACAGTTACATCAGGACTACTTGGAACGGTAACGGTTTCATCTGGGTCTTCAGTTACTACTTCAGAATAATTACTACCAATATCGAGTGGTATTTCACTCCTTGTTTGTTTAAAGTCTTCCTTTTCCATGATTTACAGTCGGGTATTTGGCGCGTCACGTAACCGCACGTACTATGATGAGAAATTCTTCACTGTCAGTACTCGCGTTACTAGTGCAGCACTATCGATTTTCTTGCAAACCGAAATCAGAAAGCTCATAGCCTCCAAGATCAGTAAAGTCTTACTGGAACAACAAAACATATGAAGTCAAGGGGGGTAAAACTTCGAGTATCTTTTGTATGAGGTGTGAATTAAACGGGTACACATCTTATGGAATCACGTTTTACACTAATCGCATTTGATTCCTACCTCCTCGGAGGAAGAACAGTTTGACTGTCTACATTTATAAGTACAGCCAACCACTGTAGAGGGATTAAGAGAGTTAAAAACGACAAAAATACACAATATGATCACTAGTGTCGAAATCAACCAAAAAGAGTACCACATGACGGATTTGGTGAAAATTCCAAACTTTAACCGAAAATCAAGATAAAATAGACTATGTATGCTTTTGATTAAATAATTCACAGAACCAAGGTCAAATCACGACAAGTAGTAAATCACTGCTCTTTTGAAACGTCCGCATAAATGAGTGTTGTACTAAACGTTGTTAATTGGACATCATTTCCTAACCACAAGGGGAGATGTTTACTAACTCGTTGGCTCAGTTGTCTGGTTGTGCGCCCAATACATCTTTCCCCACAGGAGCAGCTGAATTCGTAGATACACATAGATGTAACAGAACCAGGTAACTTATCCTTTTGTTGGAGAGTCATCATAGATTGAGTTAAGAACCATAGAAGTGAATAATAATTAAATTATAAAATAGATAACAGACTTTAGATGAAGGTTTTGTGTAGAAATTGGTTTAATTTTTTGTTGAATTCGTTACAGATTAACTTCAGTTGAGACATCACTGAAAACTAGGTAAAACTGAAAGGCTGCTTCATTTTGATGTGGTACTAGGAAGTTGTGTGCACCCATATCATGTCAAGTACAGAACTTAGAACCTCCAGGTCTCTCAGCGAACAGGTCTCAAAAGAATCTAATACGACTTCTGATCGTAAAAGAATTTTGCAAATCTTTTTATTATATTTCCTGATTTAAAATAGATATTAAGATTTCGTTTAGTGCATTGTGAAATCAGTGAATGATGTTAGTATTCAGCTTTTACTTGTAAGCCTTACCTGTTCATTTACAGATGATCTCATATAGCTAATTTTATGATTCTGTATAATGTAATCCCAGACACCTTAGAATCAATTCACTTTATTTAAGTTCAATGGTACAGTCGATAGATCCTTTTTAACCGTTATAAACATACCGTTTTTAACAGTGACTAAGCTACAAGTTGCTTGTCATCAACTTTTTGTGTTGTTTCATTAATAATCCATAAAACCATTGTCTATGACAATTTTTTCTCAATTTCTTACTAATATCATTCCAGTTGTATGCAAAATTAATTTAAACAATCATACAGAGATTCATTTGGAGATTCGATCAACCTGAATAGTCTATACAAACATACGATTCTAACTTCGTTGAGCTTAAATAATGATGATCACTTGGTTCATTTCGTTATGAGAACTGTTTATTCCTTTGTAGTTTTTAGTTTACAATCTAGAAAAAATACTTTCAGTTATCCCAACATAATACAGCTCGCGGGATCGTGAGTGCGTACAGCTGAGGAGTCCTATACTAGAACTAAACGGCCGTCCAGTGCTTCGAGATTTTCAATGGTGATCTAACATCAATCTGTTCATGATCTCAATCAAAAACTTAATAATTTCCACAACCCTATACTGATGATACGTCATGTCGTTATTACTAAACGTTATGTGATTTGAACCATCTTTAAACTTTTTTTATTGATCTTGGTATCACATTATCCTATTTCAGAAAGCTAAAGCAATCTAAAGCTATTATTTTTATTTGTATTCAATAATTTGCATCAATAATCTACGAACAAACAAGTAAACATGTATTCTACTTTAAAATCATAACATGTAGGGTAACATAGTTTTTCAATAAAGTAAACTAAAGTTCTCTAGGTATTAAAAATGTACACATATACTTTTAAATGAGGAGACACCTATTGAGAAAGTACACATAGATATACTCATTAATATTTCAAACATCCATAACAAAAGCGCATAAACATAGTACATTGAGTCTTAATTTAAACATTGATGAAGATATCAGTGAAATTTGATTTGTTTAACATTTTTTTTTTAGTTACATAAAGAGAATTGTCTATTTCATTTAAATTTTTCACAGTACTATCAACCAACAAATTATTCTGTACCATCTAAAGTTGTAATCAATCCTAGTGGAGTAACAAATGATCAAACATATCAATATGATAATAATAATATTCGACTAGATAATTCACAACAGATCAATTCAAAATATCAACCAATGTGGATTAAAGCACCTATACCTCAATTACGACTTTCACGACAACGATCAAATTCAGGGTAAGTATCAAAGTGTAATATGATGTAAATTTGATCTGTTTTAATATAAGTTAATATCATGAAATAATTAATAAAAAGATTATTGATTATTACTAAGTTCTAAATAGTTATTATCATTTCAATATGAAATTCTTTCTACAAGTGTTAACTAGTGAAATTACATTCTGATAGATAAACATTTGAAACTTCAAATCTTACATTGAATGTAATATTTTGTTTATTTTACAAACTTTATAAAAAAATGTAAATAACCTTTGGTAAGAACTATTTGTTTATTAGGGTAAATTAAACAATTTATTTATCTTGAAAAGATATCATCTTTTAAGTGAATGAATATTACCTAGAAAATATGAATACAATGATCAGAAAGGGTTTTGTGGATATTATAGTAATTTTAATAGTTAAGATCATCTGTTGTGAGATAGTAATTCACTGAAGACATTGATCGATGTGTCACTCAATTTCATGGCATTCATTAGATGTCGGCTCAATGGTCTAATGGATAGGCGCTTGCACTCTAGACTGATAGGTTTTGGGTTCGAATCTCGAGAGGTGGGATTGTGGGTGGGTACTTCTGAGGAGTCCCACAGTGGGACGTAATAGCTATTCATTGTTTCCAAGTTTTTCCATGATCTCAACTATTAAAAAAACAACAATCATTTATAAATGGAATATAAAATACCATTTTTAATGACAAAAATCATATTGTTGCATTCTCTGATCAATCTATTTATTGCTTTTATTGTGTGAGATCTTAATAGCATTGATAATTATTGATTTAACAAAATAGATATTGGCTTTGTGGTTGATTAAATTTAGAAGAATTACTTATTACTTATTATTTTTAACTTTTATATTGGAGTGGTTTTTTATAACGTTTAAAATAAATTTACTACAGATTACTTATTTTTCCTTGAAAGTTGAATACATGAGCCATTTGAAGCTAGACCACTATAGAAGACCTGGAACCACTAGACAGCCGCCTCATCCTAGTGTGAGACTCCCCAAAACTGCACATCCACGATCCCACCCGAAGGGATTAGAACCTCTGAACCACTGAGCCGGCATCCAACGATGTTAATGTCTAAATTCAACCAATCCACGAAATTTAACCACCGTCCACCATTGTTTCAGTGAGTTACTATCTCACAACGCACCTGGTTGAACTCCACTGGTCACTGCTTCCCACTAGAACTTCAGGAAATACCTCCTGAATCCAGCCACTAGTGAGCATATGTTGATTACTGTCAGAAGGGGTTTTGTGGAGATTGTAGTAATTTCAATGGTTAAGATCATGAGTCAGTTAGACCGTTGGGTGCTGGCTCAGTGGTCTAGTGGTTAAGCGCTCACGCGCGAAGCCAGTAGGTCCTGGATTCGAATCTCGCAGGGGGCGAGGTCGTGGATGCGCACTGCTGAGGAGTCCCACAATAGGACGAAACGGCCGTCCAATGCTTCCAGGTTTTTCGTGGTGGTCTAGCTTCAACTGACTCATGATCTTAACCATTGAAATTACTACAATCTCCATAAAACCCCTTGTAATATTGTAGGATTTTCATAGATTATCATCGTATGGGAATCCTCATCAGTGCACATCCGCAATCCCGCCTCTCGAGTTTCGAACCCAGAGCCTATCAATCTGCACGCGAGCGCTTAACCATTAAACCATTGAGCCGACATCCAATGATATTAATGTCAAACTTCAATCAATTCACAAAATTGAACCACCGACTCATGAATCCAACTGTTAAATTACTACAATCTTCACAAAACCTCTTTCTGTAAACACTAACAGTTATTTTGATCTATATTTCAACTGTGTTTGTATAAACAAAATCAATACTCTTCAATTTAATGTGGATTTTTTTATATTTTAAATCATAGTTAACCTTTTATTCTCTTCACTAGTAACGCTGTTGTTTTACAACCTAATCAACAAATAGAAAATTTTACAAATATACCAAATTATTATACATCTAATATCCCGGTTAATTTAACATCGAATAGACAAGGATCAATTCATCATTCATATGAACCAAATATTCCACTTCCTAATATAAATTCACCTATCAATCAATATAAAACTTCAACAGGGAAATCATTTCGAAATTTTCTCACTCCAAAATTAAGACGTAAAACATATGAATTGGATAAAACAGAATCTATCAAATTGAAACAAGATGATTACAAGCCAATAAATACACTACAAACTAACTCAGGTAATTTTTTCTTTATTGAGATGCTTACTGTTTTTTTGTTTGAGTAGTGTAATATATACATATATATTCAGACAGGGGTTTTGTGGATAGTATAGTAATTTAATAAGTGAATTCATGAATCAATTGAAGCTAGACCATCATGAAAAACCTGGAAGCACTGGACGTCCACTTCGTTCAACTATGGGACTCCTCAGCAGTGTGCATCCACGATCCAGCTTTGCGAGATTCATACCTAGAACCTGTCAGTCTCGCACGCGAGCGCTTACGGATTAGACCACTGAGCCAGCATATTACAGTGGTAATGTCTAACTTGTTGGGGATGTTAAATCCCCAGAACTCACTTGGTAAAGGACCTAATTTTGTAATTTTATTTAGAGAATTTGAATTTCTTTGTTTTCGTACCAAAAGCGCTCTTGTCAACTTCATGCCGTATTTCCCACTTGGGAAATATGTTAAATGAAATAGGTGCGTTGCGTCTTTTAGTATAGCTATTTGGTAACTCTCCCCAAGGACGATTTTGTGCTGTTTATATACGTTTTGATTTGTGTTTGTTGTTATCGCTCGTTCTTCTGGCAGTTTACAGAATATACTTCCCTATTCCAAGCTTGGACTTCTTCCTCTAGTTAGAGGGGCTGGGACGCATCAAATAGCTAGCTTATTGGTTTTTAGTCGCTGAGTCTTTGTTCCTTTCTCAGTCTAAGTAAACTCGTAACCGCTTCAAATCTAACAAATTTGACGACGTGGTTAGCACAAATATGGATCCTGATAAAGTGGAATTATTGCTCGAGCAGCAGATGAAACTTATTCAGATGATCATGGGATTATTTTCAGTCGTAAGGTGAATTTGAGATTTGTAGGCTTATATGGTTATGTAATCGTCATAATTATGGCAGGCCTGAGATTATCCACAATATTGTCAACTTACAATAATTGTATTATTTTTGGAATTCACTGTCGATTTTCAGTTCATTTGATGGTGAGTGATTGATGTATATCAAAGTGTGATTTTCATAATAAAAAATTTCATTCCAAGACTCTGGAGTTATCCATAGCTGTCCATTATGAAGAAGTTGATGTACAACAACTCATAATGTGGAAAAAAATCATAAAAATATCAAACGTTCTGAATCGAAACGAAATCTTCCATTAAACGTACACACTAGTACATTAGATTCACCTAATATCAAAACAAAAGTTCAAGAAGGACTTATTTAACCTTACAACATTTTCGAAGAGTTTTAATCTAATTATTCTTTTCAAACTACACGTAGTCACATACAACTGAAGCGTCTTGATTTCCACAGTTAGCCACAATTAATCTAGTTTAAACAATGAACAGCCTATGAATAAATGATGAATTTGTGTGTATACCTCCTTATACTTAAAAATATTTTCATATTCAGAAAATTACTACTTACATTTAAGTAGTTCATTAATTTAATAATATATTCATGTGTTATTTCATTTATTTACTCATCCAATTATTTATTCATAATATCGTTGTTACACTATGTTACACGATGAAATGAGAACTAGTCAAATACTAGGTTGAATTGAGCTTACCTTCCCTTTAGGTTGTTTTATACACATGAAACAAATTACAAACATTGTGATATACGAGTATTAAGTGAAATATCATTTGTTAGCTTTTAACTATTCTGATTACTTGCTTGCATACTTACTTACTTACTTACTTACGCCTGTCACTTCCAATGAAGCATAGGCCGCCAATCAGCATTCTTTAACCCATTCTGTTCTCAGACTTCCTTTGTGATTACTAAAAGATATTTTCAGTATTGTTAGAATTAATTAAGATAAACATTATTACTTTAAACAAACGACTGGAAAATTCATTTTTCTATTGTTTGGTTGAATCTTCCCATGAATGTTTAAGACTGAAATTGATCAATCGGTTATTGACCTATATGTATCTTATGTAGATTGCTTCAATATTGCCTTGAGTCACAAGTATCTCTACTTAAAACGATTGTGGAGTTCATTGACATTTAAAATTTACAAGTATTCTAATTTTTTTTAAAACAATTAATCCTTTTGATAAATTTCGTTAATACAATGAGAAGACGAAGGTTATCAGAATGATGTAATACATTTGTGCAATACATTTCGAACAATCTGATCACACATTATATACTTGTTAAGACATTTTTATATGAAAAATAAAAGGTCAATTAGACAAGTTAAAGGTAAGTTGTAACAAAGATAAATAAAGTGCACAAAAACAATAAAGTAACAACTCTGGATAGTAAATCAGTATTACCAGGGTACGTTAAGGGTAAGGACAAATTGTTTTTGAACACATAAAGAGGGTTTCAGTTTCCAAGGCTTCAATAAACTTTATTATACGTTTTCGAAGGTTTTTGTACAACACTACAAATGCTGACATGATATTAACCCTACGATCAGTTTCAACCAAATGTTTCGCAATAGAGGAAAATGTCTATCCATTCTGTGATCTTATTTGACCTTTGTCTTCCCATTGTATTATCGAAATCTAATTTTTTAAAATTGAAATATGTTAATCTAAAAAGCAATAAAGTAAATTAAGTTAAAAAAATAAACCATAGATTATAATATCATTTATTAACGACGTACTGCGATTATGATACCCTGGAATAATGACAATAATAATATTATAAGCAACAATGAATAGTGGCTATCAGTGAAATCCAGGACGCGCGTTTCGTCCTAATTGGCACTCGTCCGCTAGATATATTTGCATCCCGTTGATGACATTCACTATTGGACTCAAACCCAGTACCGCTCACTCCAAACACCAACGCGTTACTCACTTAACTACTGAGTCCTGATAGCTACCTGTTTGTGCAACATGGTGAAGTTTAAATTTATTTTGTATTATTTACTTCAAACTTCCCATTGATCTTTAAGACTGCAATTGATCAGTCTCTTATTGGCATATGTGCATACTGTGCGTATTGCCTCGATATTGTCTAAGCAAACATGGATAGTGGCTAATAGTAGAATTCAGGACGCACGTTTCGTCCTATTTGACACTCATCAGTTGGATGTACCTTTATTTCAGACTTGATGTTCACTCCTGGAAAAATAAACTTTACTTATTTATTCTAAATTAACATTTTTCAATTGAAATTTATACTTTAATAAGTGATAAATTCTATTAACGTATTCAATCATAGTACTTTTTAGTAATTATTTACTATATATGTACAAATTTGATTGAATGTTCATTGTTTAAATTATCACATTTTGTTAAACTGATAGGCATAATAACCAACTATAATTATGTGTACATTTTATCCCGTTTTATATATACATACAGATAGATGGATATATATAAGAAGACAGTAAGATTGATGTAGAAATGGTTTAAATGCTTTACATACACTTACCATAAACTAATGTTTACATAATATACCAATAGGATATAATCGAATATTAGCTAATGACCCTATTCATAAACATAATATAACAGTGTAACTAACTATAAATAAGTAATAGAATCTTCTATACTTATTTCAATGAATTTTCATTAGAATAGTTAATATGCAAGTATGTATGTTTATAAAGTGTATCAGTGCATTCAACTAAACAAATCACAGTACATTCTTATTTTATCTTGAATCAATATTCAATACAGTAAGATTGAAACGAACTTATACAAGAAAAAAAGAAAATAAGAAAAGAAAAAAAAAAAGAAGCGAAGCACAAAATGTATTTATCTTTGTTTAACTGTTAAGAAAAATGTCATTGACTATGGAATTAAAAAAGATATGTGCATCAGTTTTGTCTCTTTACTATATTCGATTAATTGTTTCTATAAAATATCTCTATGTATACTAGCTTATAAAAATATAAAAATGAGAATACTTGGAACGAGATCTGTCTCCTCTCTAAACTATATGCTTATTATCACAATCAATTTACTTAGTTGGAAAAATATAACCAAAATATTTTTATTAGTAGATATCAATAATTGGATGATGGCTTAATGGTCTAGAAGTCAAGCGTTCGCGTACGAGACTGATAGGTCCTGAGTTTGATACTCGCGAGGTGGGATAGTGGATACATACTGATGATAAATTTCATACTAAGACAAAACAACCGTCTAATACTTCCAGATTTTTCCATAGTAGTCTATCTTCAATTGACTAATGAATTCAACTATTAAATTACTATAATATCCACAATACTCCTCTCTGATTATAATTTTGATTACGTTAAAATATTTCTCGATAATCAGCATTTTTTTTTCTCTTTTAAAGATCAGTTGTTAATTCATTCATATCATTATGTATAAACATTTATGAAGTAAAATGTTCAAAAAGGTTTTTGAAAAGTAGACTTAGTAACAAAACTAAATCATAAATATTATCACCACACAGTTGGAAATCTTCACAGGTAGACTAAACTAAGTTACTTTGATTTATATTGTCTACAATTAACTCACCTACTGTGTGAATCAAAATATATACTAATACTACTGCCATTATTATCATTATTATTACTATTATTATTATTATTATTAATACTACTACTACTAATAATAATAACAATAATAATAATAATAGTAATAATGATTAAAATATGATATATTCAATATGTTTAATAGTTAAATGGGGAATAATATGAACTTGAAAATAAAGGAGAAATAGGATCAACAAAAAATAACCATGAATATTCAAAATCTGTAGAATTTGTTTAGTTACAAGTCATAGAATACTATATTTCATAACAATTGGCTATAAATATAGCTATTAAGATGAAGTAATGCATAGTGAAATAAGTTACATCATATTATTTAAGTAGTGACAGATTAGTGAAGTTCATATGTTTTATTATAGATAGTTAAATTCAACTAATGATAACAGTAATACAAATATTAATTTATTATCAGAAAGGGTTTTTTGGAGATATTATAATAATTTAATAGTTGAGTTCATGAATCAATTGAAGCTAGACCACCATGGAAAACCTGGAAATACTTTAAGGTTGTTTCATTCTAGTGTGGAACTCCTCAGAAGTGTGCATCCACAACCCCACCCACGGGATCCTAACCCTAGAACACTAAGCCGGCATTTAACGGTATTAATGTCTAACTTCAACTAATCCATGAAATCAAGTCACCGTCCACCATTGTGTTCATTGAGTTACTAACTCACAACAAACACACTTAAACTCCCTGATCACTGTTTCTCAACAGAACTTCAGGAAATACCTCATGAAGTCATTCACTAGTGAACATATGATGATTATTATCAGAAAGCGATTGTTCGTAGATATTATAGGTAATTAATAGTTGAAAGGTTTTCAACCTAAGTATCAATGAATAAAATAAATTATTGTACATAATGCAATATGCGAATGAAATACATCAGTATTTAAATTTATCAATGAGGTTAATTGTTTTAATTATAAAAGTTATTGTACATCTTAGAAACAACGGGCATATATCAAAAGTGGTATTCTAATTGTAACTGATTCGAGTTCTTTTTTCTTTGAAATTTTCTTTTCTAATGCATACTATATATTTATAAGCATTATATGCTAATATGAATAGTGGCTAGTTGTGGAATCCAGTTTTACGCAAGTTTCATCCCATTTGAGACTCGTCAGCTGGATGTACCTACATCTCAGAGTTGATGTTCACTCTGGAACTTGAACTTAGTACCGATCACTTCAAACGTCATTGCGTTATCCACTTAGCTACTAAGTCCTGATAATCATTTGCTTATACAATGTGGTGAAGTTTAAATTCACTTGTTATTGTTTACTTGAATCTTCCCATTGATTTATGTACATATACCAATAAGAAACTAATCATTTGCAGTCTTAAACATCCATGAGAAGATTCAAACAAACAATACCAAGTTTTTTTTAATTATGTAACCAAATGATTTTAATGATTCAAATGAGGTTTCTTATAGACTACTAATCGATACATGACGAATTATTTTTCTTTTTTTGACATTTAAACATTTTTCACAATAATTCCTTTTGAAGAGATCTAAAACTATACTTATATATATATATATATATATATATATATATATATATATATATATATATATATATATATAAGGATTGTTTATTATTATCATAAATTAAGATCCACTAATGCAATTGTAAACAATAATACAATTGAATAGTTAACATCTAATCTTAGTCCAACTTTAGACTATATGACTTGATAACATAAACTGACTTATCTATAAATAAGAAAGTGTTGTGAAACAATATTAAATGACTAATTTTGACATGACATTTATCAGTTTGACTATATATTAGTTAACAACTATTGCCTACGCTAGAATTTTATGTATTCTTTTCAATTCTTTCAATTTTAAGTATAAATGAAATTATAGATAATAAAGTACTGTATATTTGTTATACAATTGATTAATAGTAACTCACTTGGTGTTGTTCTACTTGTATCTTCCTATCTTTGCTTTAAAAAAAAGCTTGTAACTTAAGGCTATATCGAGGCAATCTGCACAGGATGAACATATGCCAATAAGAAACTGATCAATTGCAGTCCTAAATAACAATGAAAAGATACAAGTAAAACAATAACAAGTGAATTTAAACTTCACCTCATTGTAAAAGCACGTGTTTATCAGGACTTAGTAGTTAAATGGATAACGCAATGGCGTTTCAAGAAAACGGTACTGTGGACATAAAATCTGAGATGCAGGTATATCCAGCTGACGAGTATCAAATAGGACGAAATGTGCGTCCTAGATTCCACTGTTGCCACTATTCATCTTTGATTAATAGTAATCTTTTGTCCCATTAGTCGCTTATCAGATATATATCTGCGTACATTCTATTATAGTTGTTTACACTGAAATTAAAATCTAGTATTCTCTATGACATATATAAACTTGTTAACGACTAGGTAGCTGGATTACAATAGTTATCGATTTGTTGAATGGGTATAGTAGGTGTTACGATTTTTAAGCATGTATCTGTAACGTTGAGGAATTCAGTTAAAATGCCTATGTGATTTCAATGATTGGTTAAATTCAAATTTTATCATCAAGATCGAGTAAATATAAACCTTCACAAATAATATAATGACCTAGTATCAAGCTCCTTCTTTAAAGGGAAATATGAACGTACACATCGATTTTGTATGCTTATTAACTTTGACCATTAACAATGCACGTTTAAATAAACTAAGGAATGATTTCCCATTGTTGTTTCATTGCTTCACATAATTTTTAATATACTAAATGTGAACTGTTTTAGTATTTACGAATTAACGCCAGAATTCGAAGTTAATTTACCTTTTATCCCATGCACATGAACAAATGCAGATCAAGAAAACCAATATAACAGAAGCGTCTACACCACTAGGCCTCAACATACATGAGGGAAAAATAAAGATCTCCAAAAAAACCTCGGCGAACATCAACCCTGCCACACATGATGGAAAAACTCTGGAAGAGGTCAAAGCATTCACGTATCTGGGCAATATCATCGATAAACTTCGAGGATGTATATGTAAGTGCAAGAGTTGTCAAAACAACGGTAGCTTTCCTACAGTTGAAAAACATCTCGTACTCAAAACAACTATCAAGCAATATCAAAATCAGAATTTTCAATACATACGTCAAGATAGTTCTACTGTACGGAGATGAAACGTGAAGAACTACCACAACCATCATCAAGAAGGTACAAGTATTTATAAATAGTTGGATAGGACATAAATTTTGAAAATCACAAAACTGCATCTCGAAACAAGTGCTAACTTGGAATCTTGAAAAGAAACGGAAAACTGGTATGCTGAATAACACACTACGTCGGGAATTTGAAGAAGGCATCAAAAGGATGAATAACAACTGGAAAGGATTGTTCAGGATAGAGTTGGATGGGAAATGCTGATAGGCGGCCTATTCTCCTCCACAACAAGTAACAGACGTAAATAAGTAACTGAAATCAACTTCTGCGTTTGGCAAATATTCTATCGTCGTTTGAAGCTCATCGGTATGTCCCGCATATATCTTTTAAAACAAATTAAACCTTTCTAAGTACATACTGTTTTTCGAAAACAGTTGTTACCTTGACATAGTTGTCAATTAACAGTTTCTTTAATCGAGGTGATATTCACTGATGGGTTTTAATCAATTTCAATAGCATTCATTTAAATAAAATCATTATTTTTCACTAAAATTCGTTTTTAAAAAGGTTCAAGTAAATAATACCATATAACCAAGTGACGATAGATTAATTGAAATGATGACTGAACTCATTTATAATTAAAAGGTGAACAATGTTATTGTGGTGTAGACAGAGAAATAAAAAGCCTTGATAAACTAAGGAAGCTATTTTTCGGGACACTACTTCGTTTAATTCAAAGCTTATAAATACAATAATATTAATTTTTATCCCTAGTCTATTCTACAGATCATAAGCTTTCGTTAGATGTATGATTCACTGCCATAGTCTTTTCTGTTCCTAAGCTATTGTAATCTAAACGTATTATTTTCTACTTTATTTTCTACGCTAATCATCAGTTTTTGGCATAGTTGTATTTTCCTAATTATTGTACGTTGTGGTCAGGTTAGTCATCTATTTATTCATGTATCTTTTTGCACTTATCTGAAATCGGGGATGAGATCGGAATTGGGAATAAATCGTGTGGTGTTCCAGTTGATTTGTTTTTTCGTACTCCCGTGTTTGTCAGCCAATCAGGTGATAGGAATAGTTTTCATCTCTCTAACCTGAGCAGTTGGTCTCAATACGAACTCATACATACTGGCCTCATAGTTAAGCCAGTGAGCTTAACGTATCAAGGTTTTAATCTAGATTACATAGGTTATCCTCCGCATAAAAGTGGGTAGACAGATTAAGAACGTAACATAGTGATTCTTGATAAGAAACGAGTACTTGTTTTCTGTTTTAAAATATATAGAAATATCAAATTTCTAATTGAACTATCACCATATACTACTTTAAATGTTTATTTCAATAGTATCTCTGTTTTTAATTATCTTCATTTAATTCCATTTCCCTATTATTTAGTTGAACAACATGTAGGAAACAATAATTCCAGATCAATAAATGAAAGAAACAACCAATTTAAAAAAGTTGTCCCATCAACATCTTATACTGATGCGCTTAATTTGGCTGTTGCTGCTAATACCGCATTATATGAAGCATTTAATCAGTCTATAAGTAAATCTTATTTATTTTTATTTTAATTAAAATTTAAGTAATTTGTCACAATATTCAATTTCACTGGTTAATCACATCTTAGTTTTACTGAGAAACCATTAAAAGGACTTTTTGATTGAGATCATGAACCGATTGATGTTAGACCACCATCGGCAACCTAGAAACACTGGATAACCGTTTCGTACCAATGTGAGACTCATCAGCATTGTGCATCCATGGTCTCGCTCGCTTGCTCACGGGATTCAATCCCAGGGCCTTCAGGCTTGCGCGCGAACACTTAACCACTAGACCACTGAGTCGTCAACTAACGGTGTTAATGTCTAACCTCAACCAATCCGGAAAATTGCGCTAGCATCTTCCATTGTACTGAGGTAGATACCTGAGGTAACTTTTATAATTATTGTTATTCATAAATTGCTTCTTTATTTTTCAGTGCTTAGAATGTTTTGTTAACTAATTAAATGAATATCTTCAGGGTATTACGCTCACATGATTTTAAAATGATAGAGATTTGCAGCTCGAATGGATGCCTTTGATGTTGTTGAATATTCTAATCTAGATGGTTTAATTGCAAGGCTTTCATTGTTTTTCTGGACAATATTACTTATTCGTAAAAGGTCAATCAGCTCAAAGCTTAATGAGATAAGATAGTCAATTTGAATACAGAACAAGTGAAGACACTAAAACACATGAGAATAAACAACTATAAACAAAAGCAATAGGACAAACTTATTTAAGGCTTGTAAACAAATATGAATATCACTTCCACATGAAGTAAGCTTTGATCGTGCAGTCCAGAACGACAATGAAAATTCCATGATTGAACCATCTAGTTCAACGAATTCAGCAAAATCAGAAGCTTTCAAGACTGCAACAAAAAGTACTCATAGGAACTATTCGGTGGACTAATTTCGGATTTGAGGTTTAGAATTAATTTCATTGTTTTAACGTTAATTCAAACCATAGAACGTGGCTTTTGAACTTAATCATTTAGTTGTATTTTAGGCTGTTTTATGTCACTGCACTTCAGTTAAACACGTTCAGGCTTTTAGTCAATACTGTTTTTTTTTCTAAATATTAAAATTAGTTATAAAAACACACATAAGAAGTGAACGAAATTGTTTGTAATTGGCTCTCCAATAAGTTCTATTTTTCAGTAATACTTATACGCACATATATGAAAATTATTAAACAATTCAAGGTATACAATGAGGGTTTATCTGGTTGGCATTTTTTGTTTTTGGAAAGCTTTTTTTCTATGGGACGGGGTTGCCAACTTCATGCCCAACCCTCCTTCTTTACCCAGGCTTGGGATCGTCAGTAACTCTAGAAGAGTTACATGCGGAGTTATACAATGAATAAGTTACACAATAAAAAATGTGCAAATAATTAAACAGTAAATAATGTATACTTTCAAATATTATATTTAATTATGTAATCTATTTCATTGTAATCATTAGCTTATTAACTACCTTGATTAGTTTAATAATTTCCATACATATAAATAAATATTACCGGATAACAGAGTAAAGCTTAACGCTACTTGTTATATCAGGTCTTCGCTGATTGTTATGTTAGAATCGCTTATCACTTATACTTATAAAGCAAGGAACCATTACAATTCCCACGACGTGAAAGTAAGAACACAATGACCCCCAAAATACGACGACGACGACGACGAAGACTTTAGTCGAAAATACACTCATTTATATATTGATTGTACACACATTTTGGTCAATAGTTAGGACGACTCATAGTAGTGTTTTGAATTACAATTTATAATGAGTAATTTTGTTATATTATTAGGGTGTACAAATCTCAAACTTTCTACATCAATATATTTGTTACTATGGGCTTAATCCTATTTAAATATTTGCAAATACAATCGACAACGACAACTTTGAATCATTTTATTGATGTATATATAAGAGGAAAAAAGGACGATTTTATCTAAACATTTACTTAGGATCAAGTAAACATTATATCTAATAATAATAATATCATATGGTTTTTGTGGATATCATAGTAATTTCAATGGTTAAGATCATGAGTCAGTTGAAGCTAGACCACCATGGAAAACCTGGAAGCACTGGACGGCCGTTTCGTCTGATTGTGGAACTCCTCAGCAGTGCGCATCCACGACCTCGCCCCCTGCGGGATTCGAACCCAGGACTTACTGATTTCTTGCGCGGACACTTAACCGGCATTCAACGGTGTTAATGTCTAAATTCAACTAATCCACGAAATTGAGCGACACATCCACCATTGTATTCAGTGAGTTACTACCTTACAACAGACTTGGTTGAACTCCACTGGTCACTACTTCAACTGCTTCAACTGACTCATAATCTTAACCATTGAAAATAATAATAATAATTATTATTATAAAGTTTCAATAAACATTTTCATGATTTTCTTCAGCTTCAACAGATTCATGTCAGAAAACTAATTCAACGAATCAAAATAACCCGGTATCTTTGTAAGTTCATTATATACATACGTTAACCAATGTGTTGCACATGTATATTTACAAATACCTTTCATTTGTATTTTTATAAACATTTATTGGAGAAATTATAATTTATGGATAACCTTTGAGTAACACTAAAATGACCTTGAAAATGTTCACCTACTCTACTATGGCTAAATGTGAGTTAAAAACTAGTGTGAGGAATTAAGATTATGGGTTAAAATTTAGTGTTATAACGTGTAACCTTGTGCCCTATTAATATATGACGTAATGGTACCGCCAATTAGAGAACAGTGATCTATTGACCAAACCAATGACTCATGAAACCTGTACGAGCAGTCTAGAGTCATCATCGGTCCTATCTTCCTGCTTAGACCTGCCTGTTAAGTCCAGAATACTAATCTCAGCCTATGCGATATCAATTATGTCTTTCAAACATACTAGGTTTATATAAAAACGTAAAAAGACCGCATCATACCATAAAATAGAAAATAACATTTGTACAAGATTTAACCAAAAGTGTCTGTGAATGTGGGAGACTGTAATTAATAGACTGGGCATAACTTAGGAACGGTAAATCGTATAATGGGTCGAAATAAAACTTATAATAAGATGAACACGAATATGAATAGTTTAGCTACTTAACAATCATACAATAAAAATATATGTATAATATTAGTCCAGAAATACATTCATTATTCTCATCGGAATATAACAATTTTTCATCACGAACTGACATTAGTTATAATGCCGAAATTGTATTTAACCAAATGATTATATGAATTTCGCGCTAAAATCTCAGATTTGTTATGTTAAATCTGATTGGTTCATTCATAAATCATAGTCTTGCCCTATTTTTTCTTCTTCATTTGTTACATTTTATTCTACGGATAATTTGTTTCGAAGATTGATGTAGAAGAATTTCCTAAATCGAACAGTAAAGGATTATCATTCATAAATTGGTTAAGCATATGAAATAAAAGTGTATACATTTTTTATTTATTTAGTCTTTAATTGAACACTCGTTGATAGTAAACTATCATCACATCATCTAATATAAAGATAACTTATAAATAAAGGATGACTTGTACAAGTGATTCGAAGAAAAAGATCTATATCATTATTTATGTTAATCAAACTTAACAAATTAATTCTTGAAGTCATGAGTCAATTGAAGCTAGACCACCATGGGAAACCTGGTAGCACTGGACGGCCGTTTAGTCCTAGCATGGAACTCCTCAGCAGTGAGCACTGACATCAAGAGACACTCCTGGAGTTCTAGTGAGAATCCGTGATCAGTGGAGTTCAATCAGGTCTGTAGTGAGATATCAGCTCACTGAAGACAATGGTGTGCGGTGGCGCAATTTCGTGGATTGGTTGAAGTTAGACATTAACACCGTTGAATGCGCGCAAAACTGATAGGTCCTGCGTTCGAATATCGCGGGGGTCGGGATCGTGGATGCGCTTTGCTGAGGAGTTTCAGTGCTTGCAGGTTTTCCATGTTGGTCTAGCTTCAATTGATTTGTGATTTCAACTATTAAAATTACTAAGATCTCCACAAAACCCCTTCTGAAAATTAATTCCCCCCAAGTTTTCTTCATTTCAAACTCATACAAGAACAACATGAAATATTTCTTTAATTCATTTTGATAGTGTAATAAGAAGACGAAGATTAACACAATTATGTGATGTATTATCATAATACATTTTGAACCATCTGATCAAACATACACTTATTAAGAATCATTTATATATAGAAACAAAAGGTCAACTGAATTAGAAATGAAGGGTAAGAGGATTCAATTTCGTGAATCCCTGAATTATTCAAATAGTTGTACTAGAAACTTCTAGGAAATCGGAATCCTTTTCTTAGCTTTACTTTCAATTTTTTATCAGATTTTTTGTTTCAATGTTTGACTGAAAACAATGTGATTATGTGATTTTTTAATTTCAATGCAAGTAGATCGGTAATATGTTTGATAAAGTCTTTGTAGTGAACTACTGAAGGCTTATTATTGAAGTGATAAATCTTGTATTAACGTCACTAGTTGAATAATTTAAAATTATTACATTGAGATAGAATAAAACGTTTTTAGAAACACTATAGTAAATCTTTTCAAGATCAAATGAAGAAGTAAAAATGGACTATTTTTTGATCGAAATAGTAATCAAACTAAGGTGAGAATCATATTCCAATTATGATTCTTAAACCAAATCGATGACTACTTTTATCACTATATAGGGTTTTAGAGAATTTTGAATTCCATATATTTACATTGAGGATTGATCGTAGTTAGACGAGGTAGCACTGGACAGTATTTTCATTTTTGTATTTGACTCAGTATTATACAACAATACCCTAATCAGAGATCGATTTCACGACCTTCAAACTTCGTAGGGTGCTACCAGGGTTTGAACTCATGAATCTAAATCTAATACAATCACTATGTAATGTAAAACTACAAAGCTTCAAGACTACAGTGATTAGTTGAACTGAAAAAAAAAAGTTTTTATAAATTATCAAATTAACTTGTATTTAAATCAATATTGTTGTCATCACTGAGAAAGAAATTCAATTACTATTATTCTATTATTTATTAAACCAATATTCTTAATTTACTGAACTCTTTATTAAGTTGACTAGAGACATATCTATTGTGTCCTAAAAATATCGATTCAAGAGTTAAATAAAAGTACATAAGTCAAAGTATTATGAATATTGAAAATCTACACAAAAAAAAGTGTAATTGTTATAATTAGCAAACTATCTCTTAGTGATAATGAAAACTGATATAAGATGAAAGTTTTATTATTGTATCATGCAATTATTTGGAGATGGTTAATAATTCAACTAAATCTTTAGAATAAATAATATCCTATATTCGATATAAATAAAGAGAACAACTTGAAATTTCCCTCTCATTACAATTACCTTAATCTGAATAATACTTTATTTGAAGTGAGAAGTTACATTTAAACACATAATATAATCATAACAATAATTGATTGATCACTGGGAAGTGATTAATGTCATCTGTGTCAGGTCATTATTAGTGCAGATCTAATTTGCAATGTGACCACTAGTCTAGGTGACTTGACATTGCGTGCATTAGGAGATGGTGGTTGGAAGTAGTCGACAAGAAACCCTGTACCTAGGTCCTGTGCTATTTGTTGGAATGGAGTGTTCTGGCGGAGTGGCGTTGGCTGTAGCGGTTTCTGTCGAGGGAGAGAGGTAGTGGGACGTGCTGCTGCCGGGCAGGCATCAGATTTAGATGGCCCGACTGTTGACGCCGATGGATTTGACATTTTGACGGAGAGCATGGCACAGATTGTGGCAAAGTAGAAAGTGGAACGGCGAGCAGAACCACTGCAAAGGAGACGAGTGTGGTGTATGGTACTTATGTCAGCATAAATAATATATAACACCAATCAAAAATAGAATGCCTGGCAACAAAAGGATGGAAATATCGAAGAGAAGAGAACGGGAACACAGAATAATTGTTACGGCAATGAAGGAACAACAAAGTTTAGGACAAATAATGGCGGATTGGTAGATGAAGTATTGAGCGTATTGTTTACATATTTTACCGATAAATTGTCCTACAGAAGATCAGTCTCTGCTAGGATAGCTCAGTACGAACGTCTCTGACTGTGAAGCTGGGTGACACGAGATTAAATCTATCTGCGAGCATCAATTCCCTCAAGATTACAGGTACATCTGTCTAACAAATGCCAAGTAGCACGAAACCTAGGTCCAGGGTTTCCTGTCGACTACCTCCAACTACCATCTCACGATCGTAACAACTTATCTTCACTTCTTGTACGATAAAGAATGTTACGTTTATCCTCAATGAAAGTTATACTTAAACAAGTGAACATCTATCCAGTTTTGTAAGATTTCATTGATAAACTTCGACAGAATTGAACTGAAGTCATTCAGATAGTGTACTAAATACAGAATTAATAAAAGTCTCTAAATCATTATTTACTGAAAATTTATTCAATCTATTTAACTAGTATCTATGCTAACAAGTGTAAGTTAGTAGATAATACTAACAAAACTCTTAGATTCCACTTTAAGTATGGTACAATCTAATGTAAGTGAAACTTGTAATGCTTTAATACTATTTACACATCATTGATAAACTGGTATTATGTTAGTTAATCAAACAGACGTTAAATCAACTAATGTTTACAAAATATTAGAAAAACCTATTTCACGTGAACATTTTTCTTTCTTGAAACAATTGTTGTATTCTATTAACAATGAAATGAATGGTTATATCTATGTGCATTCATTCTCAACAAGATCAGTGTACTCTATCAATAACTAAATATCGATCACACTTCATTATTCATAATTTATTTAACCGAAATTAGGAATTTTTGTCTAATGAGAAATATAAGAAGAGGTTTTGTGGAGATTGTAGTGATTTCAATAGTTAAGATCATGAGTCAACTGAAGCTAAACCAACATAGAAAGCCTGGAAGCACTAGTCGGCCGTTTCGTTCTATTGTGGGACTTCTCAGCGCCGGACTGATAGGTCCTGGGTTCGAATCTCGAGAGGCAGGATCGTGGATGCGCACCGCACAATATGACGAGACGGCCGACCAGTGATTCCAGGTTTTCCATAGTGGTCTAGCTTGAATTTACTCATGATCTGAATTAATGAGAAAGAGTTCAAAAGTGAAGTCTATAAAGATGTAGTGAACAAGAACACCAATGGGGACAATCGAATGTATTTGACAACAAATTACAGAACTAGTTAGTAAAATCTAACAACCATGTATTAAATGCTCAGTTTGAAAAATGTCCATCAACTGTCTCAATTGATTCAGACTTCCTTTGTCCTTGCATTTTCACACAAATTGAATGCTGTCTTGATTCTTTACTGTTCGGTCTTCTTGTCTCTCTGCTGCCAGACATTCTGTTCACGACAAACATCATATACTACTTATGTCTACATAAGTAGCACTAACTATGTATGAATTACATGAAAACTATAAAGTTATAAATCACTAACGCAGCTGAATGGTAAATATTAATGAATACAAAAATGAAACTAAAGAGTTTCATCAAGATCTACCTATCATCGTGATACTAACAACAGATCGTAGTTTCTCAGTTGGTTTGTCTTTAATTAACAACATTGATATACTTTAGACTAAATTTCTTTAAGTTAGAAATTTTAGCTAAATTGTTTTCTTCACAACCGATTTAAAACATTAGTATTTAAGTGAGTGATCATAAAAACTAACAGGTCCTATCGTTATAAGTTCGTAATAATGTTACAAAGAAGACAGTCAATTTTAAGAAAAGTATATCTTCCAAAATTACATGAAGTTGAAGATAAATAATAGGACAGAATAAACTTGTCGATTTGGAAGTGACTGATGTGTAATGTTAGCCAGGATCAACTTATAAGGCAGTTGAAATTACGAAATCAATAAGTAGAATATACTTTGATGATATAATGTGAGGTAAACGATGCAATCGTATTGGTTCACATCTATCTAGAAGGTACTTTGTGAACTAGGGGAGCACTCAGAGTAACATGAGTAACAAAAAGATTAGAAGAAAATGTAACTTGATACCTCAGAAAGCTCAAACAATGCACTAAAATTTACTAGGGAAAGCAATAGACAATGATCAGTAATAACGCAAGCCTCAGATTAAGACGATCTTCTATTCGAAACTAGAAAAAACAGTTCAACTTTCAACATAACTACAAATTAGATCATTTGTTTGGTCAAAGTTTACGTAATATACATAAAACGATAGGATAAAACGAAGGATGAGATGAGCGTTAATTAGATTCGCAGTAGTAACAATAATAGCGATAATAAAATAAACAATTATTTGTAGATCATTACACTAATGATATTTGAATAGGTAAATTTAAGTTATGGAAATGCTAAAGGGGAGGGTTTTTTATATACCAATTAAATCAGGTTAAAGTTACCCTGACTATTGATTTATTGGACCTGAATTCATCCACGGTAATAGAAGCTGTTGGACATATTTCTTTTGTACGCTTTATTCGAGAAGAGTACTTGGCTCATTATAGGCTCAGTAGCAATGAAATTCTCTCTTTATAAACATTTAACTTGTAAATATTCAGATATATATATATATATATATATATATATATATATATATATATATATATATAACGTGTTTGAAGCAGTGTTCGGCTATCATTCATATTCTTTTTAATGTTTGTGATCGATTTTGTTATCATAACATCTTTTTCTAGCTACGAATAGTTCTAATGTATGAGTTGGGCAGTTCTCTAAATGACAATAAAATATAGGAACATAAACGTTCCGTCAACGAGAACACAAGTGGAAACTACCAATGACCTTTAACAAATTACGGAATGTCTTGGTAAAATATGAGAACCCTTAAGCTGAATACTTCATTTGCAAAATTACATCATTTGTCCTCCATATACTTTATGTTAATTTCAGTTCCAAATTCCTTTCTTTTTTCCCCTCTATTCACTTCAACTCAATCTTTTTGGTCTTCTAATGCTAGGTTTTTCACTTCCAATTAGTTTCATACATCGTTTATGTCGATAGACATAAATAGCATAAACCACAGTGGTATTTCTTGAGTTTTCAGAAAGATAGATTCATGATAGTTTACAAACGTCATTAGTTAATTGAAGCAAATCCAGTTAAACGAAAATTATCAGTATGGGGTTGTGAAGATTGTTAAGTTTTTGATTGAGATCATGAAATAATCAATGTTAGGTTTTCAATAGTGATCTTACATCGATCGGTTCATGATCTTAATTATAAACAAAAATGATTGACGACAAATACATATTTGTAGAAAATGATAACCCTAAGAATTTAGACCAAGCCACTATGTTGAGCACTTAAATAGATAACATAAGCATACTGTTTCTTGAGCTCTCATTGTTCAATTAGCTTGTTATCAGAAGGGGTTTTGTGGATATTATAGAAATTTTAATAGCTAAGATTATGAGTCAATTGAAGCTAAACCAAAATGGAAAACCTGGATGTGTGAGACTTCTCATTAGTGCACATCCGAAACCACGCCCCGCGACGTTCGAACCCAGAACCTATTAGTCTCTCACGCGAATGCTTAACCTCTAGACCACTGAACCGTCATTCAACAGTGTTAGCATCTACCTTCAACTAATCCACGAAATTGAGCGACACATTAGCTTATGTCAATGTATCAAAACAATTACAATTCAAAAATTTTGTCGATCAAATTAAGGAAAACCGTCACCTAAATAAACGTACTATAATGAAACAAAATGGATCAATATTAACATTCCCATGAAGAAAACTAAAATCAATCATCCCATATATATACATATATATATTTCTATTAGCACAAATAAACATACTGGCAAATGGGAGTGAAAAAGATCCTTCCATCTTTCTATCTAAATGTCATTCTCTCAATGACAACAGTCTCAGTGATTTTATTATATTATCTACATTTTTGTTTATAACAAATGGTTTATCTTTTTCTGTCTTTTCTTCCTACTTTTCAAATTTTCAGTTCAATCGTTCATCTTTCCCTTATTTTTTCTTTGGGACTAACATGATTCAACTTCTTTTTTTTTTTTCCTCTTGTGATTATTTTTTAAAATATCACTTTTTAGTTCTTTTTTATTTTTTGTTTTTTTTTTGTATATGAAATCTAGTAATAGGACAATAGTTTGTTCGTTTAATTTCCACAGTGATATTCAAATATTCATTTCATTTTGAACAAGTTATATATTTCAAATAAATAATCATTTAGTTGACAACAAACTAATCATCAGTAGGATATTTTGTTTTGTAATAATGCAAATTATGATTCTTATTTTTAAGAAATTACCTTGTAGCTGAAAATAATTTCCTTTTTTTTAGAAAGAACAATCGAATATTGTATACAAATGAAAAATGTTTTTTGACCATCTGTTTTATGTTAATGTTTTACAGGGTGGAAACATAGTGTAGTAGTAGTAGTATCTAGGACTCGCGTTTCATCCTATTTGGGACTTGTCAGCTAGATGTACTTGTATCTCAGAGTTGATGTTCACTCTGTGACTCGAATACAGTACCGTTAGCTTCAAACACCTTTGCGTTATCCACTTAGCTACTGAGTCCTGATAACCACTTACTTGTGCAATGTGGTAAAGTTTTAAATTCATTAGGTGTTGTTCACTTGTATCTTTTTATTGTTATTTAAAACTGCAATTGATCAGTCTGTTGTTGGATTATGTGGGAAGATACAAGTAAACAACATCAAGTGAATTTAATAGTGAAGTATGTTTTCTGATCACTATTCAGAGGTTGTTGGAAACCCATTAAACATTTGTTTTATAATCTATATATATAATCTATAGATAGATTTTTTTATAAACTTATACAGGAAACTTAAACTTAAATCTTTCAACTTTAAATTCCTGGGACTGAACAAATATTTTGTAAATTATTTAATGATTTAAAGGTACAATTTCCAAAAAAACTTTATTTAGGTCAAACAATACAAAACACTTCTGAGTTCTTGATCTGAGTTTTTTCTTATCTTTTATACTTGAGTATTTTTCTAAATCAAATCAAATTCTCTGAAACGTACAGTTGCTAAGACTAAAGTTCACAGAGTATGTTTATTTAACTCATTTATACAAAGTAGTAACGTTAAGATTTGGTGAAAGTATAATTTACGGACGAACCAATCATATTTACGATCACAGGTCTTGAATTTCGGAGCGAAATTAATCCATTCATTTGACTAAATAGAGTTTTGGTATTATAGTTGATGTCAGTTCGTGATGAAAACTCTATATGTAATTCCTAACCCTAACTACCAACTGTAAATATTAATCCTAATTCCTCACACTTATTTATAATCCTCATTTAGCTGTATTGTAATGATGAACACTCTCAAGGTCACTTTAGAGTCTCACAAAGGTCGTCAAAAAATAAGTCTCACTGGCATTAACAGTGAGCTACTGAACATGTATTAACTTTCAAACCTTTTCATCACTAGATTCATATCAAGTTTTTTTATTCATCCACTCTTTTACTTTGATAATAAGTAAAAATATTTCATAGTTATGATTTTTGCCCTGTTAATTATCACGTGTTAAGATCATCGATTAGAAGGCCAACTTATATGACTTTGGCACTGTGCCAAACCAATGACGCGTTAATCAGTACGAGCAGCCAGGAATCAACTCTGAGTCTTGATTGGTACTTCTCACCTAACGCTGTCGGTTTGAGTCTAAAATACAATTTCAGCTTTCATCGTATGAATCATGTAATTCAGACATACTCAGCTTATATACAAATAAGTCAGACCGCATCATACTATAAAATAGAAAATAGTGATTAACCAAGATCAAATCAAAAAGTTGCTGTGAGTTTAAGAGACTGTAACAATTAAATTAGGAATAACTTAAGAATAGTAATTCGTGTAATAGTAAACAATGGATCAAATTAAAGCTTATGATAAATATATATAATCTGGTCACTTAATAGTTATACAATAACAATCCATCAACAATTCCTAGCAGTTACCATGCATTTATTCTTCGCTAGGATATAACATATCCACAGCCACTTTTCATTTGTATTTACATGTTTTTAAATGCCTGTAAAAATAAGTTAAAATGTATTAGATATTTGGAGATAACTTCATGGTTATCTGAAAAAAATACAGTTTTAAAATATCGCATGATTATTATTAGTAAACAGAAGTTTATTGAGCACACATGAACATATGCTAATCTATTAACGTTTCATTTTTATATTCTCAAAAGCAAACAACAAAAATTCAAAACTACTTCTTCATCGGTCAATCCAGCCTCTTTAACAATAACTAATGAAAGATCTTCAGCTGAAATCAGTTTATCACCAAATGAATCAGTAAAAACAGAAAATAAAAATAATACATGTCAATGGACTAAAATTAGTAAACCATATAAAAATATCTCTCTTTCTCCAATTTCATCAAATTCACAATATAATAGAGATAAAAATTCACCAATAGAAAAACAAATGGACAAGAACAAATTTAAAACTGATACAACAGAACAAACATTATATTCAGATAATAAATCTAGAAGCCCTAAATTAATAATAAGTGAAAAGTCAGATGATTTAACAGAAACAAACACAGATACTAGGCGGATACCTGGACGTCTTAAATCAAGTCTTCGTCATGCTGTTACATTAAGTCCATGCCGTCGTAAACCAGATGTAACTATAGAACAATGTAATAGTCCATATCTTCAACCTAGTCCATTAGCTTTAAGTTCAGGATTTGTATCAGCTGGATCAATTGTGAATGCAGTTGAAGAATGTAATGAAAAAATGAATAAAGATGGATTCGCAGAAACTTCACCAAAAGTAAAAACTGTTCCTCCTCCAGTTGGTGTTCATGTGAGTTATTTTTAAAATGTATAGAAAATAAAATTTTAAAATTCAAGAACTTAAGTACTTTTTAGTATATTTGGAAGTTATTAAGATCATGGCTTTTCACAGTAAACATTTTTTTAGTATCATCTTATTGAGTTACATTTAAACCATAATAATTTTCTTTATTAAAGTATCGAAATGATACACAAACGATTGAGTTTATCTTTTACAAGTATCTAGCTGGCAATAATCATTTTTACTATCGATTTAGTTATATTTACATGTAATATATGAGTTCGATTTCTCAACTTCGAACTTATTTATTTACTTACTTACTTACTTACACCTGTTACTCCAAATGAAGCATAGGCTGCCGACCAGCATTCTCTAAAACACTATGTCCTGGGTCTTCCTTTCTAGTTCTATTCAATTTTTATTCATTCTTCTCATGGCTTTCCATTTCTCAAAATAATGCGTTCTTTGGTCTTCCTATTATACTTTGTCATTAAGGATTCCAAGTGAAGTCTTTCCTTGTGACACAGTTGCATGCTTCCCTTAAAGTGTGTCCTATCCATGAAATAATAAAAATTCATGGCTTACAAATGGTTTCTTTAATCACGAACATTTTAATGACAATACTTAAAAGTTGACTTATTTATGTTATCAAATGAATCTGCCATAAGCAATAAGAACTCGTATATACATTAAAGGTGATGTTTACTGTACCTAAGTTATCAAATTGTATGACTAATATTGCTGTGAATGCAACATACACAGCAACAACTTTTCAAACATTACAACTTATTCTTCACAAATGTGCTCTATTGAAAATAACTATCTTACCAAATGTGGGCAATAATTAATCACAGGGTTAGCAACCAATATTATGGTTGTTTAATCATTTTTAGTTCTGATCAAGTCCTATCAATCTAACAGTTATGACATCATGTGCAATATATTTTGATGTATATTTTTAGTAGTCATAGTTTCATTGAATAAGAAAAAGAGAATTCAGCGAAGAAAATTTTCTTTTCGACGAAATCATTTACTTAAGCTGTACATTTGTATATATAGTTATATATAGAAAATATATGTCTATAAAAGGATAGAAACAATTGCATCATCAAATGGATTCGAGACTAAATAACAAATGAGGTTACGTACTAATCAAGGGATAAGGAAGAAAATAATTTATGGACCAGATAATAGTTCAATTGACAGAGATGAAGAAAAAAATGACAAACGTAAATGTCATAATCATATTGGGTTTTGTTACAATTCATTTCAACTTAACATTACGTGTAGATAAATTAAAGCGAAATTATGTCATTTTCTTCATAAAGATTGTGATATATATATATATATATATATATATATATATATATATATATATATATATATTCAAAGTACTAAACGTCTGCTAAGTTATAAACATTGTCCATTAAATATGGTAGAAATCAGAGTAAAACTTATGCAATCGTTATGTAATTAGATTTAGTCAATAAGTAATCTTGGAACTAAGTTTCTTGCTAGTTGATACTCATCAAGAAGCTATATCTGTTGTCTTGAAAACAGTAATACTCTCTATATGATTCAAACCTGAATTATACATCTCGACAGTTTGAGTTATTATCAATGAAATATTTGAACTTGTGAAATTGTTCATCTTGAAGATTATACCTAACATTTCTGTTTTTCTTGTGTAAATGTCTCTTAGAATAGTCTTTTCATAACAAAACAATATCTTTATATGGATAACTACACTAAACAACAAATAGTAAAAATAAAAAACTTCATTCATATTAAATCTCATGGATTAATCCAAATAAATTATAAAAATCATAATTATTTATTGCATTATTTCAATTGTTGAGATCATGAGACAATTGAAACTAGACTATTATAGAAAACTTGGAAGCACTGGACGACCATTTTCCATGGTGCACTAGCTTCAATTGACTGATGATCTTAACTACTAAAATTATTATAATATCCACAAAACCCCTTCTGATACTAAAGAACTTTCATTTTGAGCAAAGATGGATAGCGGCTAGAACTGGAATTCAAAACGCGCGTCTCATCTTATTTGATACTCGTCAACTGGATGTACCTGCCTCTCAGAGTTGATGTTCGCTCTGGGACTCGAACACAGTACCGTTAGCTTCAAACGCCATCGTGTTATCCACTTAGCTACTGAGTCCTGATAACCATTTGTTTATGCAATGCGGTGAAGTTTTAAATTCACTTTTTATTGTTTTATTTGTATCTTTCTATTGTTATTTATGGCTGAAATTGATCAGTCTCATATTGGCATATGTGCCTCCTGTACAGATTGCCACGATATAGCCTTAATTCACAAGCTCTTATATGCAAAGATGGATAGTGGCTAGTAGTGAAATCCAGGATGCGCTTTTCATATATATCTTCATCTCAGAGTTGACGTTCACTCCGTCACTTGAATCATCCATCTTTGCTTATAAAGTTTAAGGCAATATCGAGGCAATCTGTACAGGATGCATATATGCCAGTAAGAGACTAATACAACGATACAAACAAACAATACAAAAAATAAATAATAATTACATGAAAATATTATAAATGATATTCATAATTTCTTTTGAATTACTAGTCTAGGAAAAAATGTCTTATGTAATATGCTAGAAGTAATAGGTAGACGATTAGTGTGATGATTGGAAGAATATAAAATTGTAAATGGTTACTAAATGGTTACTTTTTTCTGCAATTTACAAGAATTATTACTAACAATTAACATTACTAAGATAAAGTTTACATTATGACAATGGTGTTATTTTCAAATTTAAAATAACTATAAACAATCATTTTCAATAATAAGGGTAACCTTATTGAATGTGATAAAATGGTCTCATTCACAAGCAATAAAACAGTTTGATTTTATTTCAGTGGATAATCACTAAAAACAATTTAGCTTATTAAAATCTAAAATACCACTTATAATTTGAAAATATTCAGTTTTTGAAACTATTATTCTTGTATATAAATCAATCGCCATTTTGGTAGTTACAAAGTATGCATTAGGTAACAAGGGTGTAGATTGATCTTGAAATGCATACAGTTAAAGTGCATTTTGAAATGTGTTTATCATCTGGAGAAACAAAGTGAACCACAAATCACTTATTTATTTATTTACTTACGCCTGTTACTCTCAATGGAGCATAGGCTGACGACCAGCATTCTCCAACCCACTTTGTCCTGGGCCTTCTTTTCTAGTTCCATCCAATTCTTGTTTATTCTTCTCATGTCTATCTCCATTTCGCTGCGTAACGTGTTCTTTGGTCTTCCTCTCCTCCTTCGACCTTGAGGACTTCATGTGAGGGCTTGCCTTGGGCGTTTTCATCAATGTGTGTCTTATCCACTTCCAGTGCTTCTTTCTGATTTATTCCCCAACTGGGATCTGGTTTGTTCTCTCCCATAGTAGGTTATTGCTAATAGTGTCTGGGCGACGGATCTGAAGTATTTTGTGTAGACAACTGTTAACAAACACCTGTATCTTCTGGATGATGGCTTTCGTAGTTCTCCAGGTTTCCACCCCATACAGTAGAACTGTCTCGACATTTGTATTGAGGATTGTGACCTTGATGTTGGTTGACAGACAGTCGTTTTGAGTTCGAGATGTTCTTCAGTTGTAAATATGCTGCTCTTGTTTTGCCAATCCGCAGCTTCATATCTGCATCAAATCCACCGTGTTCATCAATGATATTCCCCAGATATGTAAAGGTTTTTACATACTGCAAATCATCTCCGTCAATTGTGATTCGATTGGTGCATGCTGTGTTGTATCGAAGATTCTTGTTTTTCCCTTTGTGTATGTTGAGACCTACTAGTGCTGAAGCTGCTGCTGCTGCTGCTACAATGGTCGTCTTCTCCCGTATTTGTTGTTGCGTGTGCGATAGAAGAGCCAAATCATCTGAGAAGTCTAGATCGTCCCACAAATCACAGGATAACTTTTTTCATATTAGTTTGAAACTCATCGGCAATTAACTCTAAATACATTCAGATCCCGAGACAAAGGTATTATATTTACACAAAATTAAGTCAGATTTGATCATAAACATCATCAAACTTAGTTGTTTCGTGATCACATTGGTGATATTTGCCTTAGTTCTAAGTGTTTATTGTTGAAGAGACCTAACATACTAATACCGGGCAGTATCAGCCGTAAATGTAAATTTATTTTAAAGTGGACAGTTTTCACAAATCATCATAACAGTGAAATGTTTATTTAAATTATAATTAAGTTTACTTACTTACTTACTTACTTACTTACTTACTTACTTACTTACTTACTTACGCCTGTTACTCCCCGCAAAGGAGCATAGGCCGCTTACCAGCATTCTCCATCCAACCCTGTCCTGGGAAATCCTTTCCAGCTCTTTCCAGTATCTTTTGTAGACAACTGCTTATAAATACTTGTACATTCTTGATGATGGTTATAGTACTTCTCCATGTTCCAGCTCCGTACAATAGAACTGACTGTCTTGACGTTCTTATCGAAGATTCTGACTTTGATATTGGTTGAAAGTTGTTTTGAGTTCCATATGTTCTTCAGTTGAAGGAATGCGGCCCTTGCTTTACCAATCCTCGCTTTTACGTCTGCATCTGGACCTCCTTGTTCATCGATGATGCTTTCCAGGTATGTGAAGGATTCCACATCTTCCAGAGTTTCGCCATCAAAAGTGATTGTGTTTCTTGCTGTTATCCGTGTTGAATTTGAGGACCTTAGTTTTCCCCTTGTGTATGTTGAGGCCTACTGATGCAGAGACTGCTGCTATGCTGGCTGTCTTTATCTGCATTTGTTCGTATGTATGCGATAGGAGGGCTAGGTCATCTGCGAAGTCTAAATCGTCTAATTGGTTCTGAGCTGTCCATTGTATGCCGTGTTTTCCCTCAGAAGTCGAGGTCTTCATAATCCAGTCAACCACCAGAAGAAAGAGGAAGGGAGAGAGTAGACAGCCTTGTCTGACTCCGGTCCTTACTTGGAATGCGTCTGTCAGCTGTCCTCCATGCACTACTTTGCACTGTAGTCCGTCGTATAAGTTCCGGATAATGTTGACAATCTTCTCAGGAACTCCGTAGTGTCGAAGGAGTTTCCATAACATTCTCCTATCTACACTGTCAAATGCCTTCTCATAATCAATGAAGCTGATGTACAGTGACGAGTTCCACTCAATTGATTGTTCGACGATGACACGTAGTGTCGAAATTTGGTCTGTGCACGACCGGTCCTTACGGAATCCAGCTTGTTGATCTCGAAGTTGAGCGTCAACTGCGTCTTTCATCCTGTTCAGTAACACTCTGTTGAAGACTTTACCTGGTGTTGACAGTAGTGTAATGCCTCTGTAGTTTTCACACTTGCTCATATCTCCTTTCTTTGGAATCTTGATGAGGTGTCCTTCTTTCCAATCCATCGGCACTTGTTCCTCTTCCCAAATCTTCTTGAATAGAAGATGAAGCATGCTTGTAGTTACTTCGATTTCTGACTTCATTGCTTCAGCTGGTATATTGTCAAGTCCTGCTGCTTTCCCGCTCTTGATTTGTCTGATGGCCATTCTGATTTCTTCTGTCGTTGGTGGATTGACATCTATAGGAAGATCTGTGTGTGCTGCTTCGATGTCCGATAGATTCATTGGAGCCGGCCTGTTCAGGAGTTCCTCGAAGTACTCTGCCCATCTGTTCCGCTGTTGTTGAACCTCAGTGATTGGTCTTTCTTCTTTGTCTTTGACTGGTCTCTCTGGTTTACTGTATTTCCCTGCAACCTTCTTCGTCGTATCGTAAAGCTGTCTCATATTTCCTTCTCTTGCAGCTTTTTCCGCCGTCGTTGCTAGTTCTTCCACGTATTTTTGCTTATCAGCTCTAATGCTCTTCTTCACTTGCTTGTTTGCTTCTATGTATTCAGCTTGTGCTTGGACTTTCTCTGCTCATGTTCGGCAGTTGTTAATTGCTGTCTTCTTGTTCTTTCTTTCTTTGATCCTGTCCAATGTTTCTGTAGAGATCCATTCCTTGTGATGACGCTTCTTGGGGCCCAGAACCTCTTGACACGTTGAAGTTAATGTTTCTTTGATACCTTTCCAGCTATCCTCCATAGTAGTTTCTTCTTCCTTCAGTAGATCCTGTAAGGCTTGGAACCTGTTGTTGAGAGCTACCTTGAATTCATTGAGTTTGTCAGTATCTCGAAGGAAGGCTGTATTGAACCTTTGTGGTACTGTTTGTCCAGTTGTCCAGTTCTTCTTTAGCTTCAGTTTCAATTTGGCCACAACCAGGTGGTGATCTGAAGCTGTGTCCGCTCCTCTCCTGGTTCTCAAATCTTCCATTGTCCTTCGGAACTTTTTATTGATGCAAATATGATCTATCTGGTTCTCTGTGGTGTGGTCCGGTGAGATCCATGTAGCATTGTGTATACGTTTGTGTGGAAATATTGTGCCGCCTATGACCAATTTATTGAATGCACACAGATTTACAAATCTTTCCCTGTTTTCGTTTCTCTCTCCCAGTCCATGCAGTCCCATGATATCTTCGTATCCGATGTTGTCTATTTTGGTGAAGTCCTTTCTTGGGCACTTCTCTATGATTGATTGCAGCCTCTCATAGAATTGATCTTTAACGTCGTCGTTGCTATCATTGGTGGGTGCATAACATTGGATAATGTTCATTGTGATCCCCTCCTTCTTTGTTTTGAATGATGCTTTGATGATTCTGGATCCGTGAGATTCCCATCCTACAAGTGCATTTTGTGCTACTTTGGACAGCATTAGAGCAACTCCCTGAGTGTGTGGGGCATTTTTCTCTTTGTGACCGGAGTATAGCAGCATCTCTCCCGTATTTAGCCTTTGTTGTCCAGCTTGGGTTCAATGGGTTTCGCTGATTGCGAGTACTGCCAAGTTGTATCTCCTCATTTTCGTTGCTATTTGACTGGTCTTCCCGGTCTCCCACATTGTCCGGACGTTCCATGTATCTATAAAAACTTTTGCTCTGGTTGTTAGAAGGGGCATCGGCCTCGTGGCTTCCGAAGGAACTCGGCTTTCACCGTGAGGCGTCATAACTCTTCTAAATGAAGACCTTCTAACTCCCAGGGCAGAGTTTAAATGGTTTGAGTTATTTTTTCTGGTTAGCGTTTTTTTAGCGAGTTAGTTTTCTACAGGATGGGGACGCTAACCCCATGCTCAACCCTCCTCCTTTATCCGGGCTTGGGACCGGCAGTAACATTATTTGTAGAACAAGCATAGAATATAGATAAAACATGAAACAAAAGGCAAACATTTGTGAACTAATTAAAAACTATGGTTTAAAAGTCTATTAATTAGACTATTTTCAATGGTTTAAACAACAAAATTAGTCATTTAGAATGGTGGTCACTACGCAATTTAATCCATAGAACTCGGTCAACACTAAAGGACTAGACAAATATGACATTGGCTACTATTCAGCGATAAACCAATCGTCATTATTTCAGTCAATCGTGGATCGAAAGCTCAGTAATAACATCCCACACTGAAAAGCTAGGTGATATGAGTCGGTATCTCACAGAGGAACATACATTCACTCGAAGTTATGGGTACATCTTGTTAAATGTTAATTAGCATGAAACATAGGTCCAGCGTTTCTCGAGAACTTCCTCTGATCATCTAATATTTCAGTATAATATATGCAACGTCGAGTAACTTAGAATAATGACCAAATTACAACTTGATCTATAGAGTTTGGTCAGTAGTAATTGAACTAACCAAACATAACATGAGTCAATGAGAAATCAACTGTAAGTGTTCTATCATTTTACATTTACAGCACCCTACGTACAGCCTAAAACAGTTTACGTTTTGTAACTATCGTAGAATATTAGTTCATAAAAATAAAATGATCATATTGAATAATCTGGAAACAATTACACACAGCAATTTAACTTTAATGGTTGAGATCACGAGTCAATTGAAGCTAAACCAACATGGGAAATCTGGAAAAACTAGACGGCCGTTTCATCCTAGTGTGGGACTCCTCAGCAGTGCTCATCCACAATCGCGTTTCACAATATTCGAACCCAAGACCTAACAGTCTCTCACGTGAATGCTTAACCGGCATCCAACGGTGTTAATGTCTAACTTTAACTAATCCATGAAATTAACCAACACATTGACCATTATGTTCAATAAGTTACTATTTCATAACAGACCTAGTTGAATTTTAATTTTATAAATTCTTTCTTTCAGGATTATCCTATTGTTACCAATTTAGAAAAAGATTTAAACAAAATTGACAGTTTAATTAATGATACTTTAAATATTCATGTCAATGATATTACTCCACAAATAAAATTAAATCAATCTGAATTATCTAATAATTGTATACAAAAATCAAATGAATCACAACAATCTAAATTTAATAAATTATTACCATTACAAACATTACCACCATGTAAATTATTACTTGGTCGTGTAGCATCAAATGAAGATATTTGTATTGAAACTGAAACACCATTTTCATTTAATATAGCAGCAACTGATAAAGAAATTTGTATAACACGAGTAGCTTCAGTTGAAGATTTAAAATATCAACAACAACATGATCAATTAAAAGGTAACAATAATAATAATAATAATAAATCAATAAAGAAAAATCATAAACGTATTCCAATTAGTTTAAGATTAACATTTGGTTCTGAATCAAAACTTAATAAATCTACATTAAATTCTAATGATAATGATGATTTAATGATAAAAAATTATCGTTCAATGTATTATGTTGATATACCACAAGGTATAAGAACAAATGAATTAAAACGTAAAACAAATCAATTAAAAAATATAAATAATAAACAAAATATAATACGTTATAGTTTACCATGTATTACATATTGTGAAGAATTACCAAAACCAATTTCATTATTACCACCATTAGCTATAGAAAAGAATCGGTGATATTTTTTAAACTCAGTAATTCTTTAAAATTAAATATTGTTTTTTTTCTCTCTTCTACACCATTCTTATCATAAACATATGAATAAATGATCTTTAATCATCTATGGATTATAACAATAACAACAACAATAACAACAATAACAGCAACAACAATGACAACAACAACATTAACAACAACAACAACAACAGTGACGACAACAACAACAATAACAAAATGTTATACTACTAATGAAATATCCTTTTTAATTGAATTCTGTTGATTATGTAATAATGATTGATTAGATTGTAGTAACTATAGTAATAAATATGAAATATTGATTTTCGAATGTAATTAATATTGCATTCAAAAAGCAGAAAAAAGACAAATAGGAAAAGATAACCTATTACTGCTTGTGTAACATTATTGATATACAAACAAATAATTAATGCTTGTTGTATAAAGTATTTGGGTGTATACCACTTTCTTTTTAAAAAGTAAATCAATAACCAATATTTGATTTATTTGCAACTATTCAATATTTAGCATGAATGAATATACTATTATTTAAAAACCATGTCACCCGTTTTCTTTTTTTTCTTTTTTTTTTTTAATCTTTGCTACTTCAGATTTTACTTAAATTCAGATTAACTAAAATGAATTAAATTTTAATTCCTAAATCAAAAATACCATATAATTTCCTTTTATTATATAAATATATATGTATGTGTATGTTGCCAAGTAAACGAATGATCTTTTCTAATAGGGATGCATGGAAATTGATTCTTAGTTTGTGTTGTTCATTGGACAATTTCATAAACAAGGCGTGTATTTTTTTTCTCTGATGTATTTAGGAAATAAACTTCGTTATGGATGGTAGAGTGTTGTAAATATTGACATTGTGTTTAATGATTACTAGAATGTTCAAGTGTTTAAACGCTAGAAATTACAATGAAACTTACTATATTAGAGTTATAATAAGTAATTAATTGTTTATAATACAAATAATGGAATATTGTATGTTTGTTTATGAATATGCTGTTGAAAACATCAAATGATATTAACAATGGCTAAGTAATTAAAAGGAAATGCTTCTTCAAGATAATTTGGTTGTTAAAAATTGAGATTATTTGTGCTTTATGTGATGGAAAACGATTTGATGAGGTATCTGAATACAGAATAACAATTTATTCATATTGGTATCAAATTCTCAGCCTTTTATGTTAACTTTGGCTTACGTAAGTCAGTTTTTATGCATATTCCGACTAGTTCGTAGACAAAATATGTGGCGAGAAAAGGATTATATAACTGTCGGATGTTGTTCGGTGAATTTGTATCAGAGCGACTTTTCGTGAAGGAATATTAAGTGTAGTTCACAAAGAAGACCAGATTCTAACTATAAAGCACCTGGATCTCGATTCTTTATCTCCCCAACAGACTGTGGAATTTCAGTTGTAAATGGTTAATGAGGTGTTATGATATTTCCTGGATGAGACAAATAGACTAATAGAATGCTACTGGGTCTTTCTTCATCGGTCAACTCCCTAGGACGTTTAGAATTTTATTTTTCGCACTAAATTAGTATTTCAGGAAACGTGTAGGATATAGCTTCTTGATGTATTGATAACCTATCAAATGTATCTTCGAACCTCCTCGTTTCTGGCTTCTGATTTCACTGGGTGGGCAAGATTCAACTATAGAAGGTGTTACTGATTCAAGTGTTGTCAAACTATAAATACCTGTAGCATCTTCAAGGAGCAATTCACACTATGATGAACCGATTCGATAATATGTTAGCCGTTCGTTAGATGAAATGTATGCATTGTTGGAGTTATTCCATGTAGGTGTAGTGGTAAATAAATCTCGAAAATTAATAGCTTTTAGAGTCTTTGTTAGTGATGCTGACTTTATTACTTTCAATGGATATACCTTCAAATGAAGGTGCTCAGTTAAACAAAGACAGTAAATCACGTTTGGATTCGCAGTACTGAATATCTCATACGAAGAATAACACTACGATACCTCAACCAATAATTCAATTACATCATTGCATCCCACCATCTCAGACGTCTGATTTGACTGGATTTGTAGTCAGGGCGTTAAAAGAGGTTAATGACAGTAGCGTTTTTAATCCATGTATCTGCCAGCCCTGTTCACATTTACAAATATCTAATTTACGGGAACCGACTAAATCTCAGTAGCCAATTGATATACAGGTATCCTAAAATTCATTTGAAAATGGGTGTGAAGTAACAATATATCTTTGTAGTTTGTGTGATCTGCTAATAGAGAGGTAAACATAAAATTGTAGACATACAAAGGTTAGGAGCAGTATGCAATCAAAAAATTGAACCTTAGTTATGTACAATCACGAGCTACCACTCACCTAAAAGTGATTAAGGGACTCTGATTTCCTAAAGAATTAAATTACAAGTGGCCCAAAAGGGAAGATGTACCACTACAATGACCGTGGTTTTGCATTCAGTGAGTCCTATATCTCGTGTTAAGTCATTTATCCTAAGTCGCTTTATAGCAGCAAACACACGTTTGTCCTCAAGAAGAGAAATGTGAGCAGTGTTTAAACTTCAACCGAGCACTTAACACTTCATATTTGAAAAAGTTTCATTACTTACTGAACTAGTCATTTTGAGAAAAGTTGTTGTCAAGGTAAGTAGTGATTGAGAATACGCCACAAAAACCAAGCTTATAATGAAAACGATGATTTGTCTTCTAAAAATTGATACAGAATACATGCCACTTCATGGTTGTGAGCAGGTTGATACAAATTCAAAAGTATTCACAATAAAATGCACATTGAAGCTTTATTTAAGTTAGAGAAATTGAACTCTCAAGCCTTCGCTTTAGACAAAGTCGATGTAGTAAGTACTAACAATAGGTGTAATAAAGACAATAGAAAATTAAATGAAGTGGTTTTATTGGTAGTTACTCACACATCGATAAAAGACAGATTTAGCAAGCATAAAACTGTATCTGGTAGACAACAAACACAGAAATACTAAGCGTGTAACATGAACAAACTAATAAACATCTTTTCCTATGTTAAATAAAACATACTTAACATAAACTTTGTGTAAAAGATTCGGAAATTAAGACAAACAATTTATTTATTATCGTCATGTCACTGATCCTCAGCTGTCTTTTAGACCGCAACAAATTTGAGAGATACTGGTGTATAAGGCTTATTGAGGAAAAAGCTCTAGGAGAACCTGGCAGTAGTAGCAATAGAGTATAGTCAGGATACTGACCCATAGTTAGGACCCTTGTAGTAGCATTGGGCCATAACCACACAACATAAGACAACTGGGGAAATAGATATTCAATATTTAACGCGGAGAAATACGTAACGATGGAAGGCGGTAACAATGAATTGAATTAAATCGAGTTGATCGAATAGCATGGCTCGGCCTTGCAGGCATGGTCCCTGCTGAATGTTACCTTATATCTTTTATTCATATAAAATATATTGTTCTATCTCGAGCCTAAGCTTGTTCTCCATCATGTATTTATAATTGTTACGATGCAATTAGTTGGTGTAGACGATGATGTAACTTCCACGTAAGATCTTATAGATTAGGCAGTTATATTATGACAAATCTACAATTATAGGATTAGGTCTATTATTAGAGCAGCACTGATGGCATAGTAAACCATAATTCTACACCCTAATGTCTTCGGTATAAACCTGCTACAACACATTATTTACTTGCTAACCCAGGCATATTAAGGGTAATAGATATGAAGTTATCTGCTTGTGGGACTTCACATTACGGTTGTGGATTATATGCGATCACGGTTCAGCATTTTGCTCGCTTACTTACACCTTTTACCCCTCGTGAAGGAGCTTAGGCCGCTCACTAGGATTCTGCGATCAAATCTGTCCTGTGAAATACATTCCAGTTGTTTCGACTTCTCATTAATCAATTCTCATTTCTGCTTCCGATTGCCAACGCAATGTGTTTCTTGGTTTTCTTGTTTTCCTTTTGCCCTGAGGACTTTAAGCTCGGGTTAGCTTCGTGATGCAGTTTGGTTATTTCCGCATTTTATTGCCTATCCACCTCAAGCGTCTTCTCCAAATTTCCTCTTTAACTAGAAGCTGGTTCGTTCTTTCCACCAGCTGGTTATTGCTGATGGCATGTGACCCACGGATAATGAGTATCTTGCGCAGATAATTGCTGATAAATACCCTAACATTTTGATGGTTGTAATAGTTCTCCAATTTTCAGCTCCGTACAATGGAACTTTGAATGGGCGCAAACTTTGAAGGTTGTAACTTTTTACGTGGTTATTAGTTTTATCTGTCTGTAGTTTTTCATTTGAAGTTAACAGTATTCATTAGTGGACGATACTATATCCTGATAGTGTTTTCATTTATTTGACAATTCATCTTTTTACTCAACTTCATGCCTTTGGTCAGTTAGATCTCACAGTACTCTTCTTTTCCTTGATTAACATACATGAATTTCCTCTTTAAAAATATTGGGTTCAATCTTACCTTTAAACATTAATCATCTAACGATCGCCGTTTATTTAACACACACCTTACTCATATTTACACCTCTTCAAATTACATCAAAGCTATCTAAAAAATATAATTTGCCCCGATGCCTACAGCACCTGCAAAAGATCTGAATCGATCACTAAAGTGTACGGTAATAAACTATATAAACCTCTGATTTTTCTACAACCTCACTAGACGTGCACTATGCATTCGGGTATGAACTCCCACTACCTTACAACTCGCTTACAGATAATAATAATAATATATTTTCAAAAAAACTAATTGTTACATGAGGCATGCCAGTTTGCAAGCATGATCAAATTGTTATAAATGCTACAGGCTTCACTTTAATAATTTACTCAATCAGGCTAGTATGTTATAAGGCACATTAGTTATAGAAATGGGGTGAATTCTTTTACATTACAATATTAATGTTAGTATGACTGCAATATTAAGTACGAGAGTTGGCGCTATGTGGGGGTTACATTGAGAAAAGCGCTTTGCGGTAGAGATTGAATGCGACTGAAGTTCAGAACCATTTATAATAAGTAATGCGGTCAATGCATAACCCATCAGTCAAAAACAATGGCTTTAATGTCTTATTTTGTGCTTGTTGATAGTGAGCCCAGGTATATTTCGGAGATATTGACGATGGCAGAGGACGAGATCATATAGTCCACACACTTCTAAGGTGCTATACTACGAGCATAGTGAAAAACAGAGGGGCGGGAGTCAGAACGGAAAGTGTCAATGAGTGATGAAGATCAGTCATTTGTGATGGAATAACTGAGGCATGATTACTTAAACCTATTTTTATCAGGTCAATTTCTAAGCAAGTATATTTAACCACGATAAGGAAAACAAGCCAAAGTCTGGCGTCGAGCAAACAAAGGATTGTATAAATGAAAGTTATTCAAAAGAACCGAAAACTCAAAATTGTATATTTTGGGAGTTTAGTGAGGAAAACATAGTGTTTGAATACCAAATAGCTTTTCGCTGTCTAATTTATTACAAGTCGTTTTTATTGCTTTAACTTATATAGAGTCATGAGTGAACTCTTATTCATCATAAATACCCCGTTTTGCTTGTAATAGGATTTCCTATTGGGAAATGTAACGAATTCGAGGCTACATATATCAGTCAAAGAGGTTTTTGACACAAGAAATCGGCATCAATATCATTGGTTAGATACATTCTACTAAACCCTAATGAATCGTAATTCAACATAATATTCTACCTTATATACATGAGTAAATTGAGTTTATTCCCCCACAATCATGGTTACTGGTTAGTAACGTCAACCACCCTCTTTTGTGATGTTAGGCTTTCCAAAGTTTATGGTATTTATGAACTTTGCTTTTATCTAGACCCTATGTTGCACATCTTGTTTGGATACACTAGCTCTACTAGTTCCATGTCACAAGCAAATCAGAGAGCTAAAGCTTTTGCATCGTAGGTCAGATATTCATTTACTATATCACACCGCTATGACGTTTGTAATAAACAGTGCCAATTGCAACAATTTTAATGTAAACTCCAGTCCTCTCGCAAGTGGCAATTTCAAGAGCAGTCAAATGGAACTTAATATTACCCAAACCATTCACGATTTATTACCGTCCAATTATATAATCAATGTTCCACAAAATTCTGATGTCAAAGTTACAAAAACCGAAAAAGTAATTGGCTATGTATCATCAGAAGTGTTGAAAAGACTTGATTGTGTGCAGAACATCAGTGTACGTAATATGCCTGATGGTGCGAACTTAAAGTCCACTAAAAGTACAGTCGCAAGAGTGTGGATTGTCGCATTCTTGGTGAGCAAGACGAATAATACTTAAAACACACCTAACCTTCTTGTCCCATTCTCATT